CCCTTCCCTGTATCCCCAGAAGAAAAACTCAGCAAAACAAAAAGTTTACTCTTTTTTCCCTCATGGAAAACTAATAAACTCTTGTTTCTTCAATGACAATATAAACCTTTGAATATTTTTAGCTCAACAGAAATACTGAAACTAAGAGGCAAAATGGTTAAAATCCCAGCCAGAATTATAAAAAAAAGATTTATTTTTTTTTTGTTTCATTTTTGGAAGCAAAGACTTCACTTAAGAAAAGTTATTTTAATCAATTTTTTCTCGGTCCAGGTATTGAAGAGCGAACAGAGCATGTCGTGTTTTCCTGCTTCAAACCTCACACAACACACAGAATAGATTGAATTGAGTTGAATTTTCAGAAAATTATGAATTTTCTCATATTTTAAGGAAACAGCTTCTGTTCTGTCAGTGTGTCCACAACGTTCCTGAATGAATCTGAAAAAGCTCACTGAGTTTCTCTCCAGGCTTTTTTAAGTTCTTAAAGGTGAACGTTTAATGGGTTAATCTGATTTATTCATCAGTTGGGGTGCAAACAGCAGTCAGTTATTGAGAGAGAGGCGGGTTTTGGAGCCTCTGAAGAGGAAAAAGTTTCTCCATCAGAGTCAGATGTGGTCTTCTGCTGGGTCTTTCTCTCCTTTGGAAAGAAAAGGATGTGACATTTTGAGCTGAACGCAGCTCAGAAAATGTCCAGATCTATTTCTAAAGGATCCATTTTCATGTGGAGGAACCTGAAAACAGGGCAGAGTTTATCCTCCAGGTTTATTTCACAGTAACTGGGCCTTTTCAACCCGCTCCATCAGGTGTGTGTTCACCGTCCTGAGGAGGTGAAATTACAGCCTGAGGTCCACATTTCCAGCAGGAGGAAACAGCTTCTGGAGAGAGGACAACAAACCGATCGCCATGGCACTTCCTTTGGTTTGAAACTGTAAAGAGTTCCCCTTTCTGTTCCAGAAGGAAACAGGAGCTCAGCCTGGTTAACATCTGTATGCTAATACAACAGCTGCAAAGTCCAGAGTCCAACAAAACAGTGAGCCAGTTGAGCAAAACCTTGAAATGACTGCAGAAACAGGAGGAAAAGCTGCGAAGCTTTCATGATCCAGATAGTCTCAATGACCTTTAACCTTCAGATTGAAGCAGAAGCTCCTCTCAGATCATTCTGATGTCTTTCCTCCTTGACGTTATGTGAACACACCTGAATGCAGCAGAGCTGAGGATCAATAATCAGAGAGCTGATCAATAATCAGAGCACTGATCAATAATCAGAGCACTGATCAATAATCAGAGCACTGATCAATAAACAGAGCACTGCTCAATAATCAGAGCTTTGATCAATAATCAGAGCACTGCTCAATAATCAGAGCACTGATCAATAATCAGAGCATTGATCAATAATCAGAGCATTGATCAATAATCAGAGCACTGCTCAATGATCAGGGCATTGATCAATAATCAGAGCATTGATCAATAATCAGAACACTGCTCAATAATCAGAGCATTGATCAATAATCAGAGCTTTGATCAATAATCAGAGCATTGATCAATAATCAGAGCTTTGATCAATAATCAGAGCACTGCTCAATAATCAGAGCACCCATCAATAATCAGAGCACTGATCAATAATCAGAGCACTGATCAATAATCAGTGCATTGATCAATAGGGTGGCGTGTAGGTTTATGTAATTTGTTACTGAATTAATTGTATTTTTAGGGGACTTGATAATGATTTTTGTCCTGCTACATTAAACTGATAGTTTCTTTGTTCCTTAGACTGTATTTGTGAAGCTAAATTCTGTTTGAGTTGGTTCCTTTTATATTTATAGCTTCAGAAATAAAATTAAAACACAAAACTATGAATTGTTTATTGTTTTTCCAAATGGTGGGGTCCAGGACAGGGTGAGGTGTCTCCAAACTGTCTTTCAGACTCAGTTTCAGGTTTTGTGATGCAGAATTAAATATGCACCCATCAGATGACTTTTGATTTAAAACATCTGTCCTAATAAGTCCTCCTGACCCTGACTAGGTCTGTTTTTCAGTTTAAACTTCAGCCACCAGACAGTGAGTTCATAAGAACTTTCCCCTGAAAACTGACAATATGTAAACTCTGGGGGTTATAGGTTAAAAAATATCCCTTATATTTGTTATAAGTTCTTACAAAGCTACCAACTTGTGTATTAAACCAACATCTTGCTCATTTGGACTGAAATCAGGGTTTGGTATTAATGCGTAGCACCGACATCTGGTGGTCAAAATGGAACTAACTAAAATACAAATGTCATTCAGTGGAATTATCTTAAGTCAGAGCCTCAGTTTTTATCATTGCTGTATACTTTCCTTTACCCCCAAACTACTTATTAAGCCTTTCTATAAGAGCGATGGTTCACTGGAGGATTACGCTGTAAGATTCTCAAAGTCATCTAGTTTCTAAGCTGAAACTTCTCATAAAAACAGCAACCAGCCCACCAAATTCCCCTAACCTCTCCTTCTCTGATGCCCTGTTATGATTATTATGACAATGCATTGAGATAAATGTTTCAGTTTAATGGACACATGGTTTCTTTCTCTTGAATAGTTGAATCTAAATTTATTTGGAATAAGAATAGGAGAATGCTGTGATTTATAAATGTAAGTAAATTAATGTTTTCATTCACAATATGAAATACATATTTTTATAGGCTGTGTAATAAAGTCATATTCTCTGGACCAAAGTTCATTTAAATTGGACTTTAAACTGTTCCGTGGTCAGATTAAGGCTGCTTTGATAACATGGAGGGCTAAGAGGGAATGATTAACTAGCAGATATAAAAAGAAGGGAGATGATCGAGGGATGGAAACAATAGAAGGTCAGTATGATACCATCTATTTCCTGGATAATCAGGAGGTAGTTTGTGTCTTTTCTGGGAGAGAGAGTCTGAAACTGGACTGCACTATATCCTGAATCCAGACTTTACTGAGTGCTGGTTCTCCTCTCTATTACTTTAATATTCAAACAATATGTCAGAGATTCTGCTCGTAAACAGCTAGTCTGATAAAGCCGAGCTAATGAACTTTATTTTGGGGGTTGCTGTGTTGGACACGGAAGCAGAAACAGACTTTCAGCCAGTCAGAGAATCACGGTCGGAACACTAGGACCCAAATGTACGACTCCAGGCAAGGATATCCAAAATCAGAGTTGTTTATTTGGAAAATGGCCTGTTCACGGGCAGGAAAACAGGATCAGGCAGAGGTACAAAAACGTCAGACACGGTGGTCAAAAGGTGGCAGGCAAAGGTCAGGATCACAAGACAAGACGAGACGAGAGCAGAACAAAGTTGAACAACTGACAAAACTGACAAGTATGCACACGTAACGAACAAGAGACAGACTGGAAAACATATACAAGACAGGGGAGGACCAATGAGAGACAGGTGGAGGTGCTTAGGGAGGAGTCAGGTATTCAGAAGGGAGGAAGTGGAACAACAACAATGGGAACAGACAGGAAGGACTACAAAATAAGACAGGAAACAGAACAAAGACGTGTAAACCCATAACACAGAGGCCTGTTGAAGGACAAGGAGCTGGTTCTCCTCAACTCCCCGGATCTGCTGAGGCCCAGCATCTCTGAGCACAAGCTGATGGAGTTGGTGCAGATGTGTGGGAGTCTCTTAGCTCCAGGAACACGTTGAAATAAATTTAGTATGTAGAAGAATCCAAATTTGATTCAACATAATGGATTTTAATACAACTGGATCACAAACACAAATGGATTCTTTAAAGTCTTGTCTTCAGCTGGGGTGGACTGGATCAAAATGGCCATCCAGTGAGTCCCTAAAACATCCAGTGATAGATGTATGTGTAAGGCCAAACAAACATATGTCACATGTATCACGACACATGACTATGACACTCAAAAAAACTGTGACCAAACTTAAACTAATGACTTACTTGTTGTTCTAATTGTGCTAACTGATCCCCACCGGTGGGGCCTTCCTCAGGTGAAGGTGTATTGTGATGATTGGCCGAAACACTCGATGATCCTGGAGTCCACCACTGATGATGTGCTTCCAAAATCGATCGAATTTGATTTGATGTGGTTGACTGACGACAAACTCACCGACCCTCCAGACCCACCCTGACTAACCACACCACACACTTGTGTCAATTGTGTACCAATGCTAAGTGGGTTGATGTATGCCGACACACACTCACGCTGAACAATGTCAGTGTTGGAATCACTGTACATAGGTTATCATATAAAATGGAGGACGCCTGTTCTTCATGTTCTTTTCGTATCTATCAATTTAAACCTCTTATTATCAGAACATTATGTACTCTCACGTTATGAACTGTCATTGTGTGGGAGTGAATCTCCAATGTGCTTGTGTAAGCAGATTTGAATAACCAGGTGCAGTGTCTACAGCAAAACAGCAGCTGAGAGCAGAAGTGTGAGAAGGCCAAGATCCTCGGTTCTCACCCGTTGAAGTGCCTGACTGTACCATGATAAGGAGCTGGGATATAATGTTTGATACAATGTAATATACAGCTACACCTGTGTGCAGCCTGTGTGATCTCATCCCTTAGAGGCTGCACGTCCATGTAACGTAGGGAACATTCCTTAACAAAAAGAGAGGAGGCAGCAGAGTCTGGTCAGAGTATGGTGGAGACTGTAGAGTCTGGTCAGAGTATGGTGGAGACTGTAGAGTCTGGTCAGAGTATGGTGGAGATGGTAGAGTCTGGTCAGAGTATGGTGGAGATTGTAGAGTCTGGTCAGAGTATGGTGGAGACTGTAGAGTCTGGTCAGAGTATGGTGGAGACTGTAGAGTCTGGTCAGAGTATGATGGAGATGGTACAGTCTGGTCAGAGTATGGTGGAGACTCTAGAGCCTGGTCAGATTATGGTGGAGATTGTAGGGTCTGGTCAGAGTATGGTGGAGACTGGAGAGTCTGGTCAGAGTATGGTGGAGACTGTACAGTCTGGTCAGAGTATGGTGGAGATTGTAAAGGCTCCGCGGCTCTCCTTGCAAGTCTAAAGAGTAACGTCTTTGAGTCTGTTTTCTCCTGCATTGTGTTTTTAATAATGTTTTGGATTTAACCCTGACAGTCACCACACACTTTCACCGTGTTTTTCACAAGTCTAAAGTTAAAACAACATTTTAGGCTGACAAAATATCTTAGCATGCCAAGCTAACATGCTAACACGAATAGGCTAAATGCTGGCCACAATAACACTAATTTCAAACCAGTAATGGGACTAACACACTTAAGCTTAAATTACTTAACTTGGACAGAACCCAGACAATCAATTAGTCAGTTTGATTTGCGATGTTGAAATTTGAAAATCCAAACCTCGTGTTCAGCTGCTGGTTCTTCATCATCAGGTTTTATCTGGTTCTGCTTTGATCCAGAACTCTGGATCAGGAGGAGCTGATAGGTTTAACTAGACTTTCTTGTGGTTCAGGTAGTTTTTCATCATAGAGGCTCAGTGGGTCATGATGAATATGAACTGGAACCTTAGTGCTTCTCTGGGAGAGGAGAGCATCCTGTTCACAGACAGACCAGGAAAGCAAATTTATGCATTTGGTAAGAGGATTGGCATCCTGGGAGGATCACTAGTTCTCAGTGGCGGGCCGTGCATTTCACACCTGGGCCTTCAGTAGTGCTCCGTCTGAATCAATTCACCCCTCAATAACTATTTTATGGTTATAGAAATCATCTTATTATGTAGAAATACAGTAGGGATGTCCCGATCCAGCTTTTTGTATTAAAGTTGATTTTTTTTTTCCTACTTACTTAGTTGTCAGACTCATGTTGAACAGGGATTTACTCTTATAACAACTAAAGTTTACACAGACTCTGTGCTCGGGTGGGATCGGACTTTTAAAAAAAAATGTATCTGGAGTCTCGAATGGCATTTTCTCATGCCGGCCGATACGATCCAAATATCGGATCAGGATCCTAAAATACAGTCTAA